CACGTCGACCGCCTTCGTGTCGGAGGAGAAAGAGACTTCGGCCCGGGGTAGGTTGGTGGGGATCGCCCGTGCGGTTCATCGTCGATCTAGGTTGCGGGTATCCTTTTCTGCTTTGGTTTGTTTTCCTTTGGTTGTTGTTCTCTGGTGTGTGGGAAACCCTGATCTTTGGGACCGGGGATTGGTTTGCTTTTGGGGAACCTTTCTTTTGTGGCTTGTTTACCCCAACTAACCCATTGCCTGGGCACAGGCTCGTGCCCGAATCACAGGTTATCAGCCGTAGGACTTTCCTACGCGCTTGAGACCATCAACTACAAGCTCTATGTCGACCCCACGATCTCGCAGGAGCGTCGTGGATGAGGAGGCCATCCTAGGTGGCCTCCGCTCAGGTGAGGACCTGCCGGACTATGACTACGAGGATTTCGAAGCAGGTTCAACAGGTCAGGACCGCAGGGGTGAAGATCCCGGTAGGGATACACCCAGGAGCCGTGGCAGGTACGCCGACGATGGAGACGATCGTATTTTCCGCCAGGCCACTGATGACGAGCAGACACGAAGGGTTTACTCCGGTAGGAGTGGCTCTGAATCAGGTCATAGGCGTGGACGTTTTGACTTCATCAGCATGGCGATGGACATGGCCCGCCCTCATTCGGATGACCCGGAGGCCATGCCGATTCGACCTCCGAGATCTCTTGTTCCAGGTGAGTCGCAGGTCTCGGATGAGTTTGAGAATAGGCCGCAGGGACCAGGGACTATGGTTCTGGCTCCGGGAGGTATCCCGGGCCGATCCACTGGTTCTCAAAATCCAGGTCAGTTTGATGAGCACGAGGAGCGGAAATTCACGGACTTCGGATACGATGATCTGTTGAAATCAACCGCAGGTTGGGGCAGTAGCTCAAAGCAGGGATCTGATGCCGGTAGGCCCAACCCTAATACTGCCAAATCTGAGTCTTATGATGGCGAAGATTACAATTTTGCGGATGAGGAGGAGAGCCATTCGCGCCGAAATGCAGGCAGCCGTGCGACTGCAAGGACTAGTCCCGCCGCTGCCAAGTTTGAGGTCGATGATGATGACGAGTGTGCCGCATTTGCGGATCGCCGTGATGAGGAGGAGGACCAACCACGACGAAATGCTAGGATCCGTGATGCTGCGAGGCCCAGGAGCCTCTCTCGTGGAGCCGCCAGGGACCTTCGCGTTGACAGGGATGCCCGAAGCGAGAGAGAGAGAGCCAGGGACAGTCGGGAAGTTCTTCGGGGATTGGAGGCCATCCATGACCGTGAGGGACCGGTAGGTCCCCCGGCGATTGGTGATTCCCCGAATGTTCCCCCCTTTCCCAACATCACATTTGGAGGTCCGTTGAGTCAGAGAGACGTGAACTCGAACCGGGTTACTGGTTCACCGAGGATCACTGAGCGGGCTGCCGATGTTGTTAGGACAGGTGCCAGAGATGGTCGGCTTGCCGATGCACTCGGGATCGAAGATCGTCCGTCGATCGCTAGCCCGTTAGGGCGAGATACCAGTGATCTTGAAACTCTGAGGTCTAGCAACGAGTTCACACCTCAATGGGGTTCGACTGCCAGGGAACGTAGTGTTTCTGCGAAGAGACCGTCACCTCTCGCCGCTGAGACCGATAGGTCAAAGGCGAGGAGGGCTAGCCCCTCACCAATGGATTCAACTCCGCAGGATGAGGAGATGCCCGATCCCGCTGATGTTCACATCCACTCCACCCCCGAGTCGCGTGCATCCAACATTGATCCTCGATCTGGCGATAGCCGGAGAAGGGGATCTACCCCGAGTAGACCATCCAGGATTGATGATTGTCCCGTGGATGACCCCAGAAGACATGCCGGGGCTAGTGGGGCTCCTGAGAGGATCGAGATATCGACTCCTCCCGCCCTCAGATCCCAGTCTTCCGGCGAATCAGGTGACGCTAGGGCGAAGGAGGTGTTCGATTTGCACATCCAGGAGATGCTCGAGAGAGGTGAGGTTTCTGGCTCAGTCGCGAAGGCGTTCCACATCTTTGCTGACCAAATCAGGGTACTGAACGGTCAGGTGAGTTCCATGCGAAGGGAATGGAGCGACGAGAGTCAACGGACGAAGGACAAGGTCGATCGCCTGGCAGCTGAGGTTGCGACTCAATCTGATGCCGGGAGGATGCGAATGATAGTTCAACGGTTCGCAAGGGAAGTTATTCCCGATAGCAAGGCCATTGTGAGGCAAGCCATCGATGAGCAAGCCGAGGTCGTGGAGCAGAGGATTAACCTACTGTCCCACGAGGTCCATGAATCTGTCAGGGACAATGAGGCATCGACTGATCGGCTTCGCCTGATGATTCAGGAGAATAGTGAGGCTGCCCGCAGAAGCCATGCTGCTTCTGAGGACGAGACCCTTAAGGATTTGGACAAGCTTGAGAAACGGATGTTCTCGGTAGAGAAAGCCGTTGGGATGCGGACCCCGGCAGGTGTATGGAACCCGAACCCTGTCGCGCATCCGTCCGATAGGGCCAGCGGCAGTGTAGTCGATGCAAATTTCAGGGAGTTAAACCTGAAGATCAAGAAAGCTCTCCTTGATCACGAGACATTTGCCAAGTGGGCCTCTGAATCTATTGAGGGGGTCAAAGAGGAGCACACTCGTCTTGTTAATCGAGTGTCTAGACTGCAGAGTGGAAGGGGTTCTCAGGAGGTCGATAGACCATCAGGGCATGATTCCCCGCAGGACTGGCATGAGGCTGTTGACGAGATCAATCGTAAGATGCAGGATCTGGCTCGAGGAATTCAACGTCAACGTAGGGATCATCATGACGACATCATTTCGAGGTTTGAAACCGTGAAATCACATGTTGAACAGTATGAAGCGAGATCGGCAATTGTGGATCGGGTCGTTGATGGCATCCAAGGACAGATCCGTAATCTTCCTGCCAGCAGTGACCAAGTGCAGCCTGCCGTTAGGCGAGAGCTCGGCACATTCCGGAGTACACTTGAAGGTGTTATGCGGAGAGTCAGCGCTATCGATGGTAACGTGCGTAACCTTAGCGCCGCGAACAACAGAATCATGTCCCAGCTCTTTGAGATGGAGGGTCAATTTGACGAGGCTGCTGGCATTATTCAGGGTGTCCAGCAGATTAATGAAGCTCCTCCACAACCCAGAGAAAGACGGAATGTTGGTTACCATGCATTTGCGGGGCAAGGACATAGGATCAGGTCACCGACGCCTACACCAGGGGAAGGTGACGGCCGGGGTACTGGCCTGCCGGTGAGACCAGGCGGAGGCGTTGTTTTGCCTGATCATGTTTTGCCGAATGTGCCCGATAGGGTCGATCCTTCTCGCGCAGACAGGCATCCCATCTATCCCGTTAGGGAGAGGTCCGACAGCAGGAGCAGGAGGGTTCGGGGGTTGCCTGACAGGTCGCATTCGCCACCGGAGCGTGCAAGGGGTGGTCCCCGCGCGCGCGCAAGGGGGGACGTTTCTATTTCCCCCAATAGGGATGCGGGTAGGAATAGGAGCCCGAGGCCTGCTGCCGTCCCCGATAGGGGATCTGAGGCCCGGAGTCGACAACCGAGGGGGGAGAGGCCGATCCGCGATAGCGGGAGCGTCTCTCCGAATTTTGATAGGCCAATCCGCGATAGCGGGAACGTCTCTCCGAACCCAGGTCGTCATTCAGGAGGTGGTGGGGATAATAGGGTCCATGCCGACATCCAGAGTCCTGGTGATGAGTGGAGGACTCCTGGGAGCAGAGTCAGCGCCGACACCCAGAGTCCCGGCGATAGGCGAGGGACTGCTGGAGCTCCTTCGGATCGTGGACAGGCCTCAGTGCCGGCTGCAAGAGGGGCTCCTGGCGGTGATGGCCCAGACGCGCCAAAGATTTGTGCCCTCGATGATCCCAACGACCGTAGGCACCCGAATGCTGAATTCTCGTGTGTGACATGCAGTCGTGAGTTCTGCGGGCTTTGCCGTGGTGACGACGGGGACTGTTGCAATTGTCAGTTCCTGAAGATGAAATGCTGGGCATGCCGCAAGAATGCTCAGGAGGTCTCCATGTATCTCTGTACGGATTGTGGGACTCACGTCTGTGAGAATCACAGTTACTTCGGAAATGACGGCCTTGAGCGATGTGCACGCTGCAATATTCGGCATGAACGCGCTCAAGCTGGACCGCCCCCTCCTCCTCCTCCCGGGGGAGGTGGTGGGCAAGGCGGACCACCTGGTCAAGGTGGGAGCGGAAGTGGTGGGCCTGGACATGCCCCAGCTCCACCGCCAGGTCCTGGACATTATGGTGGAGGCCAAGATCCCGCTGGGCCTTCTGGAGGCCCGAGTGGAGGGGCTCCTACCGGGGGTTACCCTGGTGGAGCGCCT